TCCCTACCCAACCCTTCCTTTCCTGCTCACCCCCTCACTCCTGCTCCCTCAGATCTCCTGTCTGAAAGCTCTTGTCTTAGGCTCTACTTACAAGAGAAACCAAAGTAAGACAGACATGCCAGAATCAGGCTGACAGAGCCCTGGCCATCACTTTGTCGTGGCAAGTGGCCGACAGACTTGGATTCAAAGCTCAACATCACCTTCCTGTACATATCTACGCAAGCTGCATGTATCTACACAAATTACCTTCTCTGGAGCAGGCAGCAATTAGGAAACGTCAAAGGTCCTCGTTAAAATGATCAGCAAAAGGGAATGCCTGGGTGGCTCACTCGGTTAAGTGTCTGCCTTCGGCTCAGGTCATGATGATCCCAGGGTCCTGGGATCAAGTCCCACATCGGGCTCCTTGGTCAGCGGGGACCCTGCTTCTCTCTCTCCTTCTGCCTGCCACTCCCCCGCCTTGTGCTTGTGCTCTCTCTCTCTCTCTGTCAAATAAGTGAAATCTTAAAAAAAAATTTTTTTTTTCTAAACATGTTATTTTAAAAAAATGATCAGCAAAGGAAGTCATTTTACCCACTGGGATTCATGAGGACCCTCCCTGAATGGAGGACAGCATCTTTTGGCCTTCAAGAGCTAAAGGGACAGAAACTCTAAACTTGAATCCAGCCACCCAAGGCACACAACAGCCCAGACTGGCAACTTCAGTCCCCCCACACAGTGTCCCAGCCCTGCAGGTGAGGAAGCCCAAGGGCACCTGTGGCTGTCATCTCCTGATCACTCTTTTCCTCCATTTCCATCTGATTCCCAGTCTTTCATTTATCCTGGTACTCAGCTAATGTTTCCCCTGCTGTTCAACTGACAAGGGAACCATTTGCTTTAGATGGAAGGCGGTTCATCTTGGTAAAATCTGGTGCGAGATCTTCATGGTAGAGTCAGAGGTGCCAAGCATAGCCCTGGGCATTCAGCCATGTTGGTGCTCACCTCACCCCCACAGATCCCAGCCTCCACAGAACCTCCAGCCCACTACACTGCCTCCGGCCACTCTGGGACGACCCCTTCTTCTCCAGCACAGCCCCAGGACCCTCAAGCTGCCCTCCCACCCGTGAGTCCAGCCCCCACAGTGAGGCCTGGGCAGACACAGCCAGGGATGTTCAGCGGGACGAGGGACCCACTGCCAGAGTGGTCTAGAAAATGAATAAGAAAAAGCTGAGCCAGGGACTGCAGCTTGTGCCACTTCTCATTCCCATGGGGCCACAACATCCAAACAAGGTTGGGTGCCCTCAGGACTCATTGTAACACAGAGAATCCTCAGGCTGGATTGCCAGCAACTCGGTGTGTCATAATCCTTACCTGCGGCTGTTCCCGGACACCCTAGAATTCCGCATTGTCCTGGTACTGTTTTCCAGATCTTTCTTTAGGAATCAGAGATGAAGGGCTTAACTTGAAATGTATAAATAGAGACAACGTGCTCCCAGGTGGAGAGTCAGATATTCCAAGTCCCCAGCCCCAGAGGCTAATGATTCTGAGGATTTCCCTCCCACAGCTGGGGGAACTAGAAGCTAAGTGGTCCCACTCACTCCTTTCCTCCACTAACCCGGCTCCATTTCCTGCTCTCCCTCCTCCCCAGTCCCTCAAGCACACAAATACCCCAAAGCCAGCAGAAACCCTCTGATATGCCAAACTTGATGGTGGAAGTTGTTTCTTTTTACACTTCTTAGCCCAGGTGAAAGCATTTGAGTACCGCCCAAGGGCTGCTGGGAACGAAGTAAATACTGAAGTTATTTATCCCAAGGAAGTACTTACGTTGGGGTATCCATGACCTGCAGCCCCTGGCTGGAAACTTGGCCTGAGGACTACAGGGGGAGGGAGGGGACTCAAACAATCTGACCCTGGTTCTCACCCAGCCTATTCCAGAGCCCTTGTCCACTTGGAAGGCTGTAAGGCAAGAATAGCCTGGGGGCAGAGCACAGGGGCCTGTCCTCTCTGCCTCCTGCACCCCTCCCAATCTGGGCGTGCCCTGGGCCCAGGGTGGGCTTTGCTGGACACTTCTCAACAGAGGAAGGGGCGAAGGCCATAAATCGAGTGCAAACTGTCCCTCCACACCCCATCATGTTCACCTGCTCTCTCTCCCAGCCCCTCCTCCTCCTGAGGTCAGTCCCACTCCAGCAGGGACACACGCACGCTCCCACAAACACAGAGCATGTATTGCTGACGCACCAAACCCCTCTCTGGGAGGTGCGCCATTGCAAGCCAAGTTCCCTTCTACTTGGGCCTCGACTCCCTGCCTCCAGTGCTGGGTCCAGAACCAGGGCCTTCCTTCCCAGTGCCATGCCCTCACCCCTCTCCCAGGGCTCTCATCCTGAGAGGGAGCGGGCTCAGTAGCCCCTGCCCCACTCTCAGGCTGCTCTCTCCCCTTGGGGGTCTACTCTGGGTGTCCTCCTTGCAGGCCTAAAGACCTGTCCCTGCTTGCCTGGCCACTTCCCTCGTTGTCTTTCCCTACACTCTGCCCTCTTAGAGTGTAGGACGAGGTCATGGGGCTGGAGATACGATAACAAGGCTCTGCCCATTGCCTTGGCTATTCAAGAGCTGTGGGAGCCTCCAGTGAGTCACCTCTTTGGGCCGGGCCTTCTTAGCCATAGAAGCCTGTCCTGCTCTGCCTGTCTACATCTCCCCCCCACACCTGGTGCCCAAGTCCCCCACCTTCCACAACTATTCCCCAAGACCGATGCCTTCAGTCTGAGCTTTATGCTCTTGGTTTACTGTTGTACTCTGATTCCTCACCTCAGAACCCTCTGTCCGGCCTCTTCAGGTGGCCTCCTAGCCCAGCACCTGTGGCCTAGACAAGTCCCAACCCTAGGGAGACCTCACTGTCCCCATTTCTGCCACAGAGTACCTAAAGCCCTTGGAATTTCCTAAGTGATAAGGATGATAAAGGTGTCTTTTTTTTAAATTTTATTTATTTATTTGAGAGAGAGATCACAAATGGGGGGAGGGGCAGAGGGAGAGGGAGAAGCAGACTCCCCGCTGAGCAGGGAGCCCAACATGGGGCTTGATCCCAGGACCCTGGGATCACGACCTGAGCCGAAGGCAGATGCTTAACTGACTGAGCCACCCAGGCGCCCTGAACTGGTAATCTGGTAAGAAAAATGGTTTTCTGGGTTCTGTGAGTCACTCCAGCAAACTCATCGAACCCAGGGAAGAGGTTGTTGGAATCTCCAAGCTATAGTCAGAGCACAGCTGACAATAAGGACTTGCGCTTAGGGCGCCTGGGTGGCTCAGTTGGTTGAGCAACTGCCTTCGGCTCAGGTCATGATCCTGGAGTCCCGGGATCGAGTCCTGCATCGGGCTCCCCGCTCAGTGGGGAGTCTGCTTCTCCCTCTGACCCTCCCCCCTCATGCTCTCTCTCTCTCTCTCTCTCTCATTCTCTCTCTCAAATAAATAAATAAAATCTTTAAAAAAAAAAAAAAAAGACTTGCGCTTAGCAAGTGGAGTGGGGGCTGGTCTTGCAGAACTGAGCCCTTAACCTGTGGGGTCTCACCCTATCTCCAGGCAGATGGTGTCCGAATTCAGCTGAATTGTAAGTCACCCATCTGCTCTTAGAGAACTGCTTGGTATGGGGAAAGAGCCCACCATGCCTTAGAATTGAGTAAAGAATTGTACCCCTACCCTACTCTTTTGTCTTTTTTTTTCTGTACCCATGTACCTACTAATACACTGTATAATTTATTTTTTAACATGTTCATTGTTTATTGGAGATCTCCCCCACGAGTGTAAACTTTGCAGGGAAATGATCTTTGTTTTGTTCACGGTCGCCCTCTGAGTTCCTAGAACAGTGCCTGGCATAGAACGGTACTCAATTTATTGAATAAATGAATACATTCTGCCTTATTAATTTATCTTTAAAGATTTTATTTATTTATTTATTTATTTATTTGAGAGCAAGAGAGAGAGCAGGGGGCAGAGCAGAGGGAGAGGGACAAACAGACTGCGCAGAGCCTGGAGCTGGACGTGGGGCTTGATCTCACAACCTGGAGACCATGACTTGAGCCAAAATCAAGAGTTGGACACTCAACCAACTGAGCCACCCAGGCACCCCATTTCTGCCTTATTTACTGATGAGTGTTTTAAACCCTTGTTCTCCTACTACAAGGAAGGAACTTAAGAGAGGTTGGGTCTTTCTTTATATTTGTGTTCTCCAGCGTGCCTGGCCCAATGCATGGTTTGCCGTAGGGAACAATAAATGTTTGTTTTTTTAAGATTTTATTTATTTATTTGACAGGGAGAGACACAGCGAGAGAGGGAACACAAGCAAGGGGAGTGGGAGAGGGAGAAGCAGGCTTCCCACTGAGCAGGGAGCCCGATGCGGGGCTCGATCCCAGGACTCTGGGATCATGACCTGAGCCGAAGGCACACCCCTAATGACTGAGCCGCCCAGGTGCCCCTGTTTTTGTAATTGAATGAGACTCAAGACAAAGACCCATGCCCAAGAGGTCCAGAGAGGGGGCACTGGCGAGCGGCTTCAGTGAGTTGAAAGCCAGAGGTCAGTTGGAAGCCTTGTCTCAGGTCCTCCCTTGGGACCAATTCAGGGCAAGACTTATGCATGGCATGAGAGGAAAAGAGGTGTTCTCAGGGTCACTGTTCCTGGGTCTGCTGAGCCTTGGACGTGCACACACAGAAGGATGGCACCCTCGAACATGCCTCAGGACAATAGAAAGGGCCTTTACCAAGAGGAGACAACCTTAAGGAGAACTTCACACTGACTTCTCTCTATTGTATGAATTAGAAGTTGCAAGATTGTGGCGGGGGGGGCTTTTTTCGTCAGGGACTCAAAGTATGTGGCCCAGAAAACATGAAGAACCACTAGCCCACAGAACCCCAGGGGGAAATCCCAGAATCCTCCCACCCCCTCCCACCTTGCTTAGCCTCCACCAGCCCACTCAGAGAATGGAGCAGAGCCTTCTGAACACTCACAGGCCACCACCATGGGTCCGTGAATGGGCTCAGGGCAGCAGAAGGCAGGAGACAGGAGAGGCCTGTCCTCAGCCTCAATCCCCTTGGCTCTCCCCTTACCAGGAGTTTCCAGGCTTGAGGAGAAATTGGGGTTTATTTTAGGAAAGAAATGTTTAGAGGACAAGTGGCAGAGAGAAGGAGCCGGATCCTTCATGGGCCTGAGTCTCTGCTCCTGTCCCTTATGGTTCCTCCAAAGTGCCAGCCCCATGAACTCAGTCGGCTCCACAGCCCCACATCAAGAACCCACATGTTGGTTGGATCACAGCAGCTGAATCAACAGCAGAATCAACAGATGAGAACACTGGGGGGGTCCTGACTCAAGCCTGGCATGAACAAGCCCCTAGATTGCTTGTCTGGCAGAGCTTCAGACTTTACCCCCCTGACCTTAATGATCTCCCAGCCCACCAGTCCCCAGGCTCCTAAGCCCAGACCCAGAGCTCAGGGCCCCCTCAGCCCCGTCAGAGCCGAGAGGAGAAGCCGGCCACCACAATGTTCTCGCCGGTTATGTAGCTGGCATCCGGAGAGAACAGGAAGGACACAATCCCGGCACAGTCCTCAGGCTGCCCAATCCTGCACAGGACAGAACACGTGTCAGGGATCTCAAACTCTGCTGCTCCGGTGGGAGTGGACTCCAAGGAGGGACAGGGTGGATTCAGCCGGGCCACTTGCACCCCGCAGGGCTCTGTGGAACCCAGACTTCAGCTAAAGGAATGGCCAGTACACAAGGAGGGGTTGCCCCGTGAGACAGACCAGCCACCCATCCCCAGCTGTACCCAGATTACCAAGGGTCCACACCCCACTTGCCTCTTCAGCTGGTATTTTTTCTTGCACTCGTTCCAGAAAACCTCATCCTTGTGTAACTGGGCAAAGGGAAGACGTGAGAGAGTCAGGGCTGCTAAAACAAGGAGCTGGGCAGGGCTCCAGATGATCCCGCGACAGAGCATCCATGGCAGATTGCCTTTCTCAGGGGTGATGGGCTGAGTCATGGCTGACTTCAAAGGACAATGAGGACCTCGGCTGTTAGGGACACTAATCTGAGGCTTAGCCCTTAGTCATTGGGGAGGTTTCCACCGAGCCGGGCTGGGAAATGGGGGATACGCCCGGGTCCTCACCAGTTTGCTGAAGTTGGTCTCTATTATTCCTGGAACTAGGCAGTTCACCCGGATACCCTTGGGGGCTAGCTCCAGTGACAGTGTCCTGGTGAGGCCCAGCATGGCTGTCTTACTGATGTTATAGGGGCCGAGTTTCTGGGAAGGGAATCAAGACAATGATTAGGATATGGGAAAGCAGGGGCGCCTGGGTGGCTCAGTCAGTTAAGCATTCGACTCTTGATTTCTGCTCAGGTCATGGCCACAGAGTCATGAGATGGAGCCCCACCATTGAGCCCGCATCATCCATGTCTTGGCACTCAGCAGGGAGCCTGCTTGGGAATCTTGCCCTCTCCTTTTTTTTTTTTTTTTCTTTGAAGATTTTATCTATGGGGTGCCTGGGTGGCTCAGTCGTTAAGCGTCTGCCTTCGGCTCAGGTCATGATCCCAGGGTCCTGGGATCGAGCCCCGCATCGGGCTCCCCACTCCGCGGGAAGCCTGCTTCTCCCTCTCCCACTCCCCCTGCTTGTGTTCCCGCTCTCGCTATCTCTCTGTGTGTGTCAAATAAATAAATAATCTTTAAAAAAAGATTCCTGGGATCATGACCTGAGCCGAAGGCAGACGCTTAACGACTGAGCCACCCAGGTGCCCCTTTCCCTCTCAAATAAATAAATCTTTAAAAAAATAAATAAATAAAAGGATCTGAGGAAGCAGAGGAAAGTATCAGTTGGATTTCTCACCTACAGATAATCCCACCCCTGGCCCAAGCGCAGAGCTCAGACACTCTCCCCAGCCTGGTCTGAGAACAGAAGCTGGATCTGAGGCACCCAGCAGCCACATGGGCATCAGCTCAACCTAGGGCAGCAGGAGTGAGGTGGGGGTCTGTCTCAGGCATTGTCCCTGTGGCGTTCTGGGGACCCCTTCCCCTAATCCTACCAGGAGCACCCAAGCAAGCACTCACCACATGTGGTATATAGGCTGCGATGGAGGAGACCAGGACGACTGCCCCTGTCCTGAGAGGAGACAGACACAAGAGGAGACAGGAAACCATTCACTTACCATGGATTGCTACTATTATTTTAAAAAGATACAGAAATCAGAATGATACCATTGTAATAACTCTAGTCATGGAATAATTCAATCCTCATGGCAGCAGCACGGTTCCCGTTACTAGCCCCCTTCCAGAGCTGAGCGAACAGAGGCTCAGCAGGGTTTAGCCGCAGAGCCATGAGTGGTGGAGCCGGGACTCCAACCCCATCTCTCTGAACCTATGCCCCCGCTCCAAACCATGACACTCTCTGCCTCTCCCCGGGGAAGCAAGGAGCAGAAAGCCAGCTGCTTGGGGAAGGGGGCAGACTGGGCTTGGTGAGGAGGCCCCCAGCGCTGACAGTGAATGCCTACCAAGGGGCCACCTCTGAGAAGCAGATGGGGCAGGAGGAGACAAGAAATGGGAGTAACTTTTTCTTCTATCCCAGCCACTCCCGGGCCAGTTCCTAAAGGGGACGCCTGCACGGAGGAGCCTGAGGAGCAGCTATGGCCTGAGGGAGGTGGTGGCCCAAGTGCCTGACACGAGAGCCCTGAGGCTACGTATGGAGTGCAGTCAAATATGCAGGATCTGGAACACCAGGCAGGCTCCCTGGGGGGCTGAGAAGTAGGGAGGGAGGAGGGGCCTAGGATGGGCTTCTCCCCACGGGGAGCAACTGGGCAGACCCTGTCACACGTTGTAAAACTGGTGAAAAGGCATTGTCCAGCGGTGAGAGAACTGGAGTAGAGGAGGGTGAGAATGACCTGCCCACAAGGCTAAGGAGCTGATGTCAAGGCCAACGAGAGCACACCTGAGCCCCAGGAACATCACCCTCATCCTGCAGCCAAGATTTAAGAGTTGTGGCTGTACAAAGGGTGAGGCAGGACAGAGGGAGTGGGAGGGGGAGACCCCAGGGATACCTCTTTTGTCCTCCCCTCCCAGCTGGGCCCCTGTGTTCTCCAGACTCCATTCTCAGGCGGCTCCCCACCAGTCCCTACCCCCACCCTGCAACCTACCCCCTCTTCTCCATGTGGGGCAGCAGCTGGCTCAGCAGCAGGGCCGGGGACTTCACATTCACGTCCAGGATCTGAAATCAGAGCAGTGGCAGGAGGGACGGCAGAGAGACACAGTGAGCCCTCAGCCCAGGGCCTGTTCTCCTATCATTTGTGCAGCAAACACACATGCTTGCAGATCCGAGATTCATTTCCCTTCCGATCAGGACAAGAGGAGTTTCCCACTTGCTAATGGTTTAACAGGCAGCCCGGCTAAGTGACAGGTCTGTGAGCAGAGCCCTGAAAACGTGAACTATTCCGGACTGGGGTGAAGGAGGGAAATGTTCAGGCCTTTTCAAGAAAAATGGACCACGTGCTGGTCATAAAGACAGAAGCTCTAAGCAGAGGCCCCTGGAAAAAGACCGAAAGTAGAACAGATGGAGGGGAAAGGAGGTGCTGGGAGCCAAGGAGATTTCTGGAAGAGTTGTCTTTGTCTGTGTTTTGACTTGTTTGTGTCCTTGTCTTGTCCCAGAATTCAGGCATTCTCATGGTGCAACAGCATAAAACAAATCAAACAGGTATTATGTGTGAAGAAATGGAAAACAGGAAAAATAAGTGTAGAAAGATAAGAAAAAGCAAGGGGAAAGTTGGTGCCCACAGTTCGCAGCATGTGGTAAGGACTGAGCATTATTCTATTATCCATTCCCAAAAATGCCAGCTATGAGGGCCTACATGCACGCCTGTTCCTGCAGACCTCTGAGCTCTCCCACGGCCATCACAAAGAGGGAGACACCACAGAGAACCGCCACCCCAGGCGTGAGCTGCCTGCAGCTCAGGAGTTGGTCCTGCCTGCAACGAAAACCTGGATCTGGCCTCAGACAGGAGGGTCCCTGACCTGCTGTCTGGGGGTTCGGTCTGGTGGGACTGGGGATGGAGGAAAAGTAAGAGAGGAACTGGCAGGAAAAGAGGCGGAGACTGAGCTGGGGGCTAGGATAGAGGGTCAGCGGGGGCTCAAGCGGCACCAGGATCCCTCTTGCGGGGGGCACCATCTTGACTGAGGTCCATGTGTCCTCGGTCTCTAGGGAATGAGACTGTACATCTACAACATCTTCATCCCGCACCCAACCGTCCCTTGGATGAGGGCAGGGAAAAGGCTTCGGTGGAGAGCTGCTGAGGCCCACATGATGAAAGGTTGCCAGTGTTGGGGATGACCCCCAGGACTGTAAGAAATGGCTCAGATTGTCCAAAGGGGGGGCCTGGCATGAGGTCCCCCATAAGAAGGAACTGAGGGTTAAACTAAGGGACTTCCTGGTCATTCTCTGCTCAAAATAGAGCCCCACCATCCCACCAATGTCTACTCTAAGCTCCATGTGTGTCAGGCTGGGGGATGGGCTCTGACAAGGCCCCTCCTAGACTCAGCAGCCAAACATGAACCAAGGAAAAGGTGAGTCCCTCCCTTGCTTAAGAGGACTGCCCTATTAGAAAAGCAGGTAGAGTAGCTCTGGGTGCCATGAAGTCCTGAGTAGAGATCGTGGCCCGAGGAGGTTGGATGCTGGGGAGCCCTCAGGCAGGAGGAGGTTGGAGGAGAAGTGGTGGAAGAGGAGATGGGAGATTTCCCAACCAGCTGGAGAAAATGGGGGTCTGCCTGGAGAGGTGCTCAAACTGGCCCGGTGCCAACGTGAGCAAGCAGGAACTAACTCCCAGGAGACCTTCTGAAAACTGCATTCAGAGAAAGCGGAGCATCAGGTAAATTTCAGACTTGTGAGGTGGTGGCAGATGTGATCGGGGACGACTTCTACCCAGTGGTGCAGACCGCTTGTGGCCCAGTAAGACCTCGGAGAATAGAGTGGCTGTGGAGGAAGTAAGGCTGGGCTGTGGGCGAGTGCGCTCAGCTTCAGGATGGGAAGATTTCAAACAGGTTCCGAGTAAAAGAATCATGATCCCATGAACTAAGACACTAAAAGGGAAAATGACTCAGGAGGGTTAGGACACTGTCAGCAATGAAATCCCAGTTACCTAATCACAAATGATCCTTCGGAGGCATTAAAGAAGCCAAGGCGCTTGGGGAGGCTGCTAGCAGTGGCTGCAGGGAGCTCAGATGTCAGGTCATCTGGGGGATGGAGGGAAGGGCATCTGGCCAGGCAGATACACAGGAGGCGGCAGCCTGAGAACACAGTCTACGCGGCACAGAGGCCTGGGGAAGGCAGAAGGAAATGCTCTGGCCAGTGCTTGGGGTGGAGGGGGAGGCTACCGACAGCAGGAAGGTAATTTCACTGCAGTCCATCTTGTCTGTCAGAGGGACTCAGGAACCAAACACAGGAGTCATAGAATAGAAAACACAGAGTAACATAAGATAACATAACATAAATCATAGAAAATATAAAATATTAAAATATAAATAAATAATATAAATATAAATATATAAAATAAATAAAAACATAACATAAATCCTAGAATAACAAAGCCCAAGGTGGACCTCAAGACATTTTACAAGGTCCCTTCAGGACCCCATGGACCAGGTGGCAGGATCATTTGGCCGAATGCAGTGGGTTGGAATGTCATGGAAAGCTGATGGCTGGGTCCAGGCCTGACAGGTGTATCAGGTTCCTCTGAGGGACTGTGAAGAACCCTCCTCTTGGAAGTGTAAAGAATCTCAGCAGCAGGTACGTGTCCCCAGCATCACCAAAGGATGTAAAATATGTCTACTGTTGACAAACAGCAGAGCCCTCACTCTTCTTGACTCTCACCGGGAGCAGAGACCTACTCCCACAGCTGTAACCCCAGAGCCTGGAACAGTGCCTGGCACATAGCAAACCTAAGTAAATATTTGCTGAATGAATAAATGCAAAAGGGACAGGAAGAGAAAAGAAAGCAGAAAGAATGTAGGAACCCACTTTGAAGCACACAAATTGGAAAGTAGCATCACAGCACATTTCAGGGGACGAGTGGTCAGTGCCTGTTTTTACAGTCGCTTTGGCGGGGGGGAGTCGAGTCTCAATGGGAGAACACCTTAGACCCTTCAGCCAGCTCCCCTCAGTGGCCTCTCACCTTGTCCCACACCTCCTCACTGGCCTTCAGGGTGCTTCCTACCAGGGGGTTGACGCCTGCATTGCACACCAGAAAGTCCAGGCCCCCATAGTGCTCCAGGACCTGGGTGGGGGGGGAAGGGTGACACGCAGGGCCTTAAGTGTGGAGATGGCCTGAGGAGGCCTCGCCCTCCCAGAGCTGCTGCCAGGTGCACAGCACACTGAGGCAGAGCTTGCAAATCAGATCCTGTCTCAACCAGGAATGGTCACACAGCTGGTGTGAGAACCAAACTCTGGTGAAGGCAGGAGCGCGGGACAGGTCCAAGGTCAGGCTTTGCCGCGCTGAGGGCCTCAGGGGAGGAGGGTCTGTCTCCTCCAGGAATTCGTCCGTGGACTTGGGATGGGGAATCCCTCTAGATTCCTCCTCAACCACAGTCCTCCAGGGTGTAGGATGGAAGCGAGGGTCCTCTCATGAACAAGCCACTTTCCAGAAAGCCAGCGTGCACAATGACGTCTGCCCAGGTAGACCGTGAGCAATCCCGGTTTCGAGACGTGTTCTAGGGCCTCCCAGCCCCAATCCCAGTCCCGGCCCCACCCAGGGCTAAGCAGCATGGGAAAGGCCCTACGCATTCCCCTCCCTGTGTCCTTCCACCCCTGTGGCCCCTCACAGTGGCCACCAGCCGCTTCCGGTCCTCAGCCTTCCCCACGTGGCACACGGTGCCCGCCACGCTCAGCCCCTCCCCCTGCAGCACGGCCACTGCCCGGTCCACGTTCTGCTGCTTCCGACTGCTGATGACCACGTGGGCCCCGTCCTGGGCCAGGCGCCGCGCCATGGCGTAGCCGATCCTGCGTAAGAGATGGAGGGAACAAGACAGCCTCAGCCCCCTGCCACCACTGTCCCTCGACCCAGCCCTGGAAATCAACAAGGCTGTGTCTTGATCTAGGAGCCCGAGGTCTCTGTGGAAGGGAGAGTCCTGGGGAGGGGTCAAGACCCATAGGGCAATCAGGGCACTTACCCCTCAGTGGACCCAGTGACCACCGCTACCCCGATTGGCCAGGACACCCTTTTGGTCTATCCCAGTGCTGCTCAGGTGCAAAGAGAGCCTAGCACAGGAATGAAACTGGTGCCTGTGGACCGAGGTCACCGCCTGGAACATGCCTGCCAGTGCCTTTTTCTGCTTCCTGCTGAACTTGGCCCTGGAGGAAAGAATCAACTTCACCTATCAGGGATGCCATAGTAACGATGGTAATCTACCCTCCGCTCCTGCAGACAGACAAGGCCAGCAGCGGAAAGCCAGAGCGAGTGGAGCCGGTCAGGGTGAATTTCAAACACCTGAGCCTTGGGTCAGGAAAACTCCCTATGAAAATTCTCTATTTATGGAAGAGGCAAATTGGAATATGAGACCCACCATTCAGTAGACAGGATGAGTTTCCCATTCATCCCCTGAGCAAGCACTGAGCGCTTGCAACATGTCAGAGAGCAGACCCAGGTTCTGAATGCCTGCATGCTGTCCTTGCCAGGCTGTGCTGAAGTGAATCTCACTGAGTGGAGGCTGGGAGGAGCCTGAGCCAGGTTGCAGACCCAGGCTTCCCGGAAACCCTCTGGAAGGAAAGGGGTAGGCTGCTGTAGGCGTGTGTGCGCAGGTGTGGAGGCAGGGTGAGGACCCTGCGTGGGAGACTCAGGTAGGCAGACACTTTCTGATGAACTGGAAACACATCAGAGATGCTTGTGTAGGGGACCCTCTTTCACCTAGACCCCAAATTTCCCAACTCCACATCACCGTGAGCCCAGAGGCTTCTGCCTCCCCCAGGGGGAGTTTCCCTGCAGGGTCCTGAATCTAGAAGTCTGATCTGTTTCCTGAGGAGGCAGGTGGGAAGGAATGGTTGCAGCAAGGGCACTCAGGGACTTGGGATGTACTTTTCATGCAGGATAGTGCCGGGAAGCTGGTAGCTCTGGACTGAGGGGCCAGCCGACATGCATTTTCAGGAGGCTCTGGTGGGGGCTGACTGTCCACAGACCCCCATCAGTTCCAGACCTGCTTTGGCCACTCCAACGCCAAGGGACTCCTCGTTACTAAGCAACCCTTGTCATACCTACAGCATCTCCCTTGTTCCTTAGCAACCAACCCTTATGTAACCCAGTTCCCTCGAGTTAGGGGTCGGTATCTATAATGATCAGCGAATGGGTGCTGCTCAGGAATTATGGAGATATTTCAGATGAAATATCAAGCTGTATCCATGTCATGATGAAGGTAACCAAATGCTCTGCCTTAAGAGAGACAGCTTAGTTTCAAATTTATGTCTCTCCTGATACCATATTTCCAAAGTTACTCTTTGCAGGTCCTAGACCTCCTCATCTTTACGTTCTAGCTGCTGTCACTCTGCTCACTCTCTCTCATGCTGTCTCTCCTTTCTGCAAGGTCGTATTTACGGCCTTTCAATTTGAGGGGATGAGGGGTTTCAGCTTCTGACTGTTCTACCTTCCCTAAACAGGACACCAGATTCTAAACACTGTTATGGCCCCTGGGGGACTTCTCTCCCCCAAGCCACAGAGCCCAGATTAACCCCGTCAAGTGTCAGGGGAATTGGTCTCCTTGGCTGGGAGGGCAGCAGGAAAAAGAGAAATCGCTTTTTGTCAGGATGGGCTGCCCCCTGCTGGAAGACCAGAGTTATGGCACTTCTGAGAAGCTGGTCCCATCTCAGCAAGTCTATGGCTGTTCCCTCTGTGGTCTACGATGGTTCTTACCAAGTCCTGCTCTTTGCTAACCTTGCCGTGAGGTGGTTTGCAGGACAGCTGTCCTACTTGTAGGGAAAAGTAGCCCTGGCCTATTGCAGGTAGCATGCAGAAAGACTAATCAGGCCTCATCTGTCTCCCGTGGTCCCACTTTCTCAGGGCCTGAGACAGCAGCTTCTAAGGGCCCAGGCTCTCACTCACTCAGCCCTCATTCCCACTTCTGCTTTTCTTTGGAGTAGTAGTCAGCTGGGCCAGCTAGGCCCGAGTCGACCACAGGTCCCGGGAGCTCAGAGTGGTCTCTGAGCCTGGCACTGCCTATTCTGATTCCCCTTACCATGCTGAGCAGTTCAGATGCCCAGAAATGGAGGTGGGGAAGCCAAGTGGACACACCCTCAAACTAGTCCTATCTTGGAGGTGTATGGCCTTCCCCAAAGAGAAAAGAAAAGGGAAAAGCAAAGAAAACAAAGATTAGGGGAGAGACATGCAATAGCGAGAAACACTGGAAATCAGGAACAAGAGACTAGGGAGATGTCCACAGAAGGTGTGGGATTTGGGCAAGTCTGTTCCCCACTCTGGCTCCATCTGCACCTCGGTAAGATGAGGCGCTGAGCTGAGGGGCCCTAAGGGCTCTGACAGCCCCCAAGAACTTTGTTAGGAGAGTCAGAGAAGAAATAAAGGCAGCTGCACACAGAGCCAGGGAGAAAGAAGCATCAGCACAAAAATTTTAAAAAGCGAAGGTGGGCAGGTCCAGTGTCACGGACCCCCAAGCTACACAGCCCTACCGTGGGCCACATTGTCCCTGCCCCAGCCTTACCTGGCTGTGCTCTTGTGGTTCCTGAGCACAGGTCAGGAGCCCTTCCTCTGTGGAGTCTGCAGCTGAGCGTAAGGATGTGGGTAGGTGACAGGCTGGGTTTCAGGCCCTGTGATTCTTCCCAAAAAACTCAGGGATTTGTGGAATTTATATCCTAGACCTATGAAAGATGGTGATGAGAAAAGGCCTCCCCCACAGCTGGGAGTAGCCTGGGGGAAAGAAGAGGACTTGTTGCCTGAGTAATAGTCTGCAGAATGCTCGCATGTACCTATTACGGAACCTGGGCGGGATTGCCCAATGGAAGAACGAAGCGGCACCTGGAGATCTTGGAGGATAGGAGGTTTATTTAATGCCGGGGGGCTCAGAGAAGAGTGGTCTCCAAAGGTCTGAGCCCCGAGCACAAAGGGGGCAATTTATACACTTCTACTACCACATACCTCTGGCGCGTGCATGAAGCGGAGCAGGGAGAAGAACCTGGAAGAGCCCCAGGGCAAGGACTAGGACTCGCTCGCTGGCTCGGTCGGCCATCTTAGGACACAGATTTTCCTTATCATACCCCCTTTTGATGCCCCTTTAAACACCTAGTTTAGAGGGCATCATTCTGTTTGATTCTGAGGGTTGACTGCAAGGCTTGGGGCGAACACGGACTTAATCATAAACTTAACAGCACACCAGGTAGCAGAAGACCAGGACTGACTGGGGCCAGGAAAACCATGGTGAAATGCGCTCAGGAGTAGACAGCAGAGGGCCAGTAAAAGTGGGATCCATGACCTTAGGTAGAAGCCTCTGGGCGAAAGTCCAGTCAGGGGGGGCAACAGTGTAGAGTCCAACTTCCAAGATGAGGGAAATCATGCCGATGAGAGCCAGGGACCACGGTAAGCAGGTGTACCTCAGTCGGTGGGGTCTCGTCGAAGGTGAAGCCAGAGTGGGTTCGTGAAGTCTGGCTGGACTCTCCACTGGCTCGGCTCCTCGTCCGAATGATAAGCTTTCTTCTTTCTTCCAATCTTTGACCCAAACTGAGTCCCCCGTCTGGAAGGAGTATACCTGAGACCCTAAGGAGACAGGGGCCCTCTCAAAAGTGTACTTTTGTAATTTATTTAGGGTGGCCCCCAGGGCCTGAAGCTTCTCCTTTATCCCTTTATCTCCAACCTGATGCAAGTTTCCTGGAAGGCTTCCCAAGCACGGGGGAGGGAGAAACCTGATGTCCCGGGCATGCAGCAAGCATGGGGAGAGCTAGGGGTAGCAGATCCGGCCATGGGAGTTTAGTCTCCTGACAAAATTTGGCTAAGGTTCTCTTGAGGGTGTGATTCATTCACTCTACTTTTCCTGAACTTTGGGGCTGGTAAGTGGTGTGGAGTCTCCAGGTGATGTTGAGAGATTTGGGTCAAGACCTGTACAATGTCTGCCACAAATGCAGGTCCATTGTCACTATGGATTGTTAATGGCAGGCCGAACCAGGGCACGATCTCCCACAAGAGGACTTTAGCTACTTCCTGGCTTTGTTCCATCCTGGTCTGGAAGGCTTCGACCCACCCAGAATATGTGCATACTATTACTAGGAGATATTTGAACCCCCTGCTCAGCTGCACATCTGTGAAGTCTACCTCTAGATCTTCAAAGGGGGTTGTTCCCATCCTTTGGACACCTGGCGGAGGCCGTGGTACAGACTGAGCATTATTTTTAGCACGTTATGCATTGTTCACTCATTGCTCGGCATAGTGCTGACAGCTGACTGATGTAGTAGTGCTTTTTGAGAAGGGCCTCTATGCCGTTTTCCCCAGATGAGTGAGTCAGTGGTGTTCCTTGACTAGATGCCCTCCAGTTGCTCTTGGAACAAAGATGTGCCCATCTGGCATCATCCACCATCCCTTTTCAGTCAGGGTGGCTCCCTCAGCCATGGCCCATTCCTTTTCCTTTTTAGTGTAACTGGGTGGAGGGACTTCTTCTGGGGGTGTCAGGGCCATGGTGAGGAAAGGGGCTCTGTCCATGTCCTCACTGGCTGCGGTCTTGGCTGCCTCATCTGCCAGACGATTTCCCCACGCTGTGGGGTCGTCTCCTTTCTGGTGTCCCTTACAATGCAGGATTGCTACTTCCTTTGGAAGCCAGATGGCTTTGAGGAGTCTCAGTATCTTCTCCTTGTTCTTGATAGCTTTTCCTGCTGCGGTTAGGAGGCCCCTTTCCTTGTAGATGGCTCCATGTATATGTACAGGCGTACCGAGAGTCAGTATAGATTTTGACTTGCTTGCCTTCACTGAGGGTGAGGGCTCAGACTAAGGCGTGTAATTCAGCCCGTTGAGCTGACCATCCGGCTTATAATGCCTTAGCTTCTAGGACTTCAGTGGTTGTGGTTACTGCATAACCCGCTTTCCAGGCACCCTCTTGTAGGTAACTGCTGCCATCACTGAACAGCGTGAGCTCTGGATTCTTTATGGCTTGATCCCGCAGATCTGGACGGCTCATGTAGACTTCATCAGTCACCTCAGAGTAGTCATGGTCTGGTTCCCCCTCTTCCATGGGGAAAAAAGTTGCTGGATTTAATGTCCTTACTGTTTCAAGGGTGACCCACGGGTTTTCGCAGAGGAGTCCTTGGTATTGTGCTAGCCGAGTTGGAA